ATTTGTGTGTTTGACCTCTGGCTCTGTTACCGCTGTATCTGCATAACAGTGCTCTCTGTGGTGGTCTGTCTGATGCCCAGTCTTGTTACATGGCCAAACCATTTGACCTGCACTCTAGCTATAAAGGTCAGTATTGGTTCTGTGCCGACTCTCTTCCTGATATCACATTTTCTTAGTCGATCTCTCATCGTTACTCCTAGTATAGTACGTAAACATTTCTGTTGTGACTATTTTCCTTCTGTCTTCTGAAGACAGTGTCCATGTTTGACACTGATAGCACAGCGTTGGTAAGAATATTGTGATGAACAGTATCCTTTTAGTGTTCATATTCACATGCTTATATTTTAAAGTTGGTGTCATTTGGCCTACAATTGTATTAGCTTTAATTCATCTTTGCTGGATTTCTTTATTCATTCGTCCGTTTTCTGACAAAATTACTCCCCACATATGTACATTCATTCGATTGCTTTAACTGGTGTTAATCAGTTTTGACGTTGGTGGTTCTTGCTTTTCCTGGAAAATGTCATCACTTCTGTTTTGTCTACGTTGATCTTCATATCGTAGTTGTCGCATTCAGAGTGGAGTTATAAGAATAAAGGTATTAAAATATACATTTCAACGAAACGTAAATACAGTGTCACGAGAATGTCTATATTAAAGTAAAAGGTTAGGACAGACGGTGGGAAAACCTGGGAACAGTATAACTATAATTATTTGAAGTGGAACCACCAAAGAGTGTAAAAATTAAAAACAGAAATAAAAAAATAAAAAGTGAAGGGAGCTGGAGAGTAAAGTTAAAAAGATTAGAAAGGAGGAAATGGGGTGAGCTGTTTGCCATGGCGAAGAAAACTGCCATGTTTCATTGTTCGGTTGAGGGCCTATGCAACAACCGTGGTGTCAACAGCAGGCCGAAGACAAAAGTTGAAGCAAAGAAGGCTTTTCAGCCGGATTCATAAATGTATAGAGCAGTCAGCAGGGAGTCGCCATGGCAGATATGAAGGTCGTGTGTTCGCGTACTAAAGGATTTAGTAATTTTAAAAAAAATGACCTTAACTCCCAGGTCGATCCAGCTTTGAATGGGTACCAGGTGCAGTCCTGGGAAGTAAATGCGGCCGGTGTGATGCTGACCACGTCACCCATCAAGTGCCGATTGGTCTTTAAAAATATACATCTAGCCCTATATGCCCAATACGCCTGAAGACGTGAAAAGGGGCCTTTACTTGTGTACACAGCAGTCATTAGGTGATGTGGCCACTCTCAAAGCGGTCGTCTTTACGTCTGTGGCTGTGCTTACTTTAGTGAAAGGGAATACGAAAAGGGAAGCGAGAGAGAAAGAGAGGGAGGTTGTGGAAGAGGTTCAAAAAATTTAAAATGATATTTGCTTCACTCACATATCACAGGCCTAGGCTATGAGGCATCTGTCTCTGTACGAAGAGTTTCAAATGAAAACCTTTAATGGCTGAGATGAATTACAGTAAGCATTTCACAGTCGTCTTGTAAACAGTATTGTTGTTAACGATACCAGGAGTGGTAAGCATGTGACAGAAGGTTGCAGATGAACACGGTGATGTGATAATGACAGCTTTAAGATGGCTGCCTTACTTTTGACCTGCAAAAATTCGGTGGGGGCGGGGGGCGGCGGGTGGGGGGGGGGCATCCACCTTGCAAACAGTTTGCAGTACTGTAGCACATCATGGATTATGTGGTGTGTGGAACCTTGACTCATGTCAAGATGTGTGGCAATATCACTCACAGTCAGTGACTGGTTGTTATGTGCGGGGGTTTCAACGACTGTAATGGACTCTGTCGTAACTACTCAGTATGCCTGACCCAGTCATCAGCAGTCTCTCACAGAAGTCACACAGTTTTGAAACTTCCTATTCCACTCACACACTTACTGGACTTACAGGGATGCTTCCCCATGCTGATGCTTCATTCGCTTGATACATTTCTAAAGGCTCTATTTCCATCACTGAAAAACAGGGGGGGGGAAATAACATGGATAACAGAACGCTACTGCTTTTTGGTAAAGTAAAAGTAAAGATCCATTCTCACGCCTTTAAGCGCATCTTGAATATGGGAAGAGCACCCATATTTTTTATAGACCAATCGCACAAGGTGAGTAATGTGGTCAGCATTCCGCCGACCGTCGTAACCTCCCTAGGGCATACATCCTGGTACCCATTTTATGCTGGGTCGACGTGAAACGTCCCATACCTAGATAACAATCCACGCAGCCAGCAGTCGGTTTCGATCGCGGACTCCTCTTTTGTGTATGTCCAAAGTGGGACGGCAATCTTTAGATTTTTATTTTCACGTAACCTTGTTCGTCTGCACATGACGTCACGTGTTTCAAACTCTTATCCTTAACAACACTATTACAGGTTGCAAAACAATAGCATGGTTATTGTAATTGCTATAACATTTGTGAGGTCTTCATTTGAAGCTCCTACCTTTAAAGACATAATTTATTGCCACAGACAATCTCGACCAGAAAAATAGAGTAGAACGTGCAAGGGGAAGATGTTATACTGGAGTGACAGCAAAATAATAATTAAAATCTAAAATCGGCGAATCAGCCCTGTGCACATGTGAACTGGCACCTGCGACAACAAATCAGGCCCTTTAAGACTGTCGCAGATACAACGTATCAAGGCAAAACTTTTAGCCAAGAGAAACATTGATGCAAGTCAAACTTTACGGGTCGCTGAGTGAATTACAAAGGCCAGTGAAGTTCATACTATAGACACCACTGCAGATATAGATACTCTATTGCAAGCGAACGTAAGAAAAATAATAATAATAATTTAAAAACCACCCTAAAACGCTTGTCAGCGGTGTGCGACTAAATACTATCGACCTTCGATGCCGAACTGACATTTGACGATGATTAGCTCAGACAAATGTAAAAGTAATAATTGAAATACAGAGTCTAAAATCAAACATATTGCTGTTGATACAAACACTTCTGATTGCCAGTCGTCAGTCAGCAGATCCCTTGCAGAACGTTGCTGTCGTCACGGAGCACCTGAAAGTCTCTCTTTCTCTAGAAAATTCTCCAACCTCATGTGCTTTCATTGATAATCCATCTTCAATGTCTTGTACAACTAACCTATAGTTGCTGGCCGATAGTTATAAAAAAAATAGCTTTTTTAGAAAAAAAAGTTTTTTTTAAATATTTTTTCATTGATTTGTTTTTTAAATATTATTTGTTTTTGTTTTGTATAAGTAAATTACGTCAATTCTTAGACAAATATTTGTATTAAATGTTTTATGTCAGTGTATAAAACTAGTCAGAATATTATGTATTCACACTGCCATTGCATCTCAGAGATTGGAATTGCATGTCATGTCTTTAAATACACATGTCAGCATTGTTTGGAAAGATTTCACTGATCTTCTTCTTCCTCTTCTGCTTTCCTAAGCCCCAATCGAGCATAGGCTCTCTGTCAGCCAACTCAAGCCAAGTCGTTCGATCCTTTGCTAAAGAATGCAGTTCTCCCCATGTCCTCTCAATCTGTTTTGGCTTCTCTCTAGCTCACTTCTCAATGTGTGTGTGTGGTTTTTTTTTTTTGGGGGGGGGGAGGGGTGGGGGAGGGGGGCGGAGGTCCTTCCTTTATTACTATGCCCATGTGAGTTCCAGTGCAAAGATATTTTAGTTATATTGTTCTCCGGTTTTCTCAATGTGTGTCCTATCCAACGCCAGCATCTTTTCTTCACCTCTTAGGCCACTAGAACTTATTTAGTTCTCTCCCAAAGCTCTACATTAGTGATTCTATCATACCGTTTATAACCTCTATTCTACGCAGTTTGTAAGTAATTGCCTTAGTTGTTCTCCGTGTTTCTGCTGCATAAAACAGTATTGATTTGTCATTAGAATTATCAATTTTAAGTTTAGTATTTCTTTTAATTTCTTTTAAACTGCATAAATTCCCTAGTGATATGAAAGCTCCACTTGCCTTTTGTATTTGTATCCTCGCAGCGCCATTCTCCTCAGACCAAAATGATCTATTTGTGCCTCCGCACTGTTCACTCGCTCCCAAAGGGCCCTTATAACATCTAGCTTGCTTTGCGTCAATGCTCCATTAAGTGGGGCAGAACCGGCCAGTCTATCTGCCATCTGGTGTCCCAACACACAGCATAACCTGGAGAAAATAGCCAAAGAACGCTAACTACCGAAGACCTCTAAAGCGATGCTTTCCACTCTGCACAGAGAATTTCTGTCTCTATTGTTCTCAACATGCTCTTGAGTCAGTTACAATTACGGCATGTGTGTACAGCAGATTTGCAAGCCAGCAGAAGAAAACAGTGACTGTTTCTGCCCTCATTCCAAACTAGACGTTGTGATATCATATGCCAGACATTCTTGCACTATTTATATGCTCCATTCGCTTTTGCTATGAACCCCGATGCACTTTGTCTGCCTCTCAAAACAGAGCCATCTGTATAGATTATACCATTGCCTGGGCGGCAATAGTCATGAATCATTTGTTGAACTTCTGATTCTGCAGCACCAGCTGGCCAATAACTGCACTCATAATCTAAAGTGATTAGAACCCTACATAAATCTGAAACTTGCTGGGACACTTTGACTCACTCTTGAAACTGTTTCCCCCTCTGTCTAGATCTACACAGGTCGCAGACAGAATCATTCATGATGAGATATGTTTAAAATACAGTCCACGTGGTGTAGCGGCTAAATGCTCGGCTGCGGATCGGAAGAACCTGGGTTCCTATTATGGGCGAGCCACACACAAAAAAAAAAAAAAAACATGGGCTCCCAGGTTGACCCTGCCTTAAATGGGTTCCAGGAAAGCATTTGAAGTAAAGGCGGTCGGTGGAATGCAACATCCACCGATTGCCGATTGATCTATAAAATGTGTGTATAAAATATATGCCGAGTATGCCTGAAGGAGTGGAGGAGGGTCCTTTTCATTACATTTATCATTTGACATAAAACTGTGGAAGGTGAATGTGTACAACTTGTTGCTCCTTTTCAGGCGGTTGTGTGAGGAAGATGATGAGCTTAGCGAGGTGGAACCGGATGCGGTGCCCAGCGAAGTCCGAGACTGGCTGGCTTTGACCTTCACCAGGTCAATGTCCAACCTGAAGAAGCGAGGAGAGGATAAGCCGCGGTTCCGGAGTGTCGCCCACGCCATTAGAGCCGGGATTATGGTGGACAGGTAAGACAGCTGTCTGCTGACTGTACCTCAATGATTCTTTTATAATCAACAATCGTTAATTAGTGAATCGTACTTCCAGTTTGATAGTAAACAGTTAAGTCAATACTTGCTCCTTTCCAATACCAGAGAGAAAATCACACACAATGTCTATTGCTCTCACTTGAAGAAAACAAAATGTACTGTCTTCAGACTCTGCATACCCACTAGCAAACACACACTTGCATTGAATACGGCGGCTATCAGAAGTGCCAGAAAACATTATTGCACTAAAACTGCAGTTCATCGTCTGTGGAAGCAGTAGTTACAACATATCAGTAATTGCACATGCAATATAAACAGTTTTGAAGTCACCGTATTCTTATGTTGTACACGTCATCAGGAGCATGTCTTGAGAATCTTCAGTCTACATTCTGCTTCTTCTTCTTCTTCGCGCTCACCAGCTGTAAACTCTGGCGGAAAGTTCTGGTTGTTCATCCACTTCTGGACTGCAGTCCTGTTCCAGAACCTGAGTGTTTGCCTGTGCATCCGTTTTATAGATCTGACTCATCTGCATGCAGACTGCTGGTTCCTTGCCTCTCAGGTAAATGCACTCCAACTTTGAAGGAAACTCACAATTTTTCGAATCTTACGACATGCTTTAAAATTTGTGATTCAGAGCTTAGCACATGTTGACAGGCACCACACAGTACAGAACATGTGCTGCAGACCTGCTCTGTACAGGTAGTAGGTGGAATCCCAGGTTTAGCAGTTTGGCATTCCAGTAGGAACACAGCTGTATGGAGCAGTGTAGGACATGCGTCAAACACACTGCCTTTAAAGGGAACCTTAGTCTTTGTATCTGAAAACCACTTGCATTGAGAAAGAAGAACATAAGATTCTGGACCATAGCGGGCAGGTAAGAAAGCAGATGGCAGGTAAGAAAGCAGATGGCAGGTAAGAAAGCAGAAGGCAGGTAAGAAAGCAGATGGCAGGTAAGAAAGCAGATGGCAGGTAAGAAAGCAGATGGCAGGTAAGAAAGCAGATGACAGGTAAGAAAGCAGATGGCAGGTAAGAAAGCAGATGGCAGGTAAGAAAGCAAATGGCAGGTAAGAAAGCAGATGGCAGGTAAGAAAGCAGATGACAGGTAAGAAAGCAGATGGCAGGTAACAAAGCAGATGGCAGGTAAGAAATCAAATGGCAGGTAAGAAAGCAGATGGCTCCTATGTGCTTTTGTTGTTCTCAGAGACAGTGGCTTATATTACATACTACCCTTCCTCCTCCTTCTCCTCCTCCTCCTCATCATCATCATCATCATCATCATCATCATCATCATCATCATCATGTGGAAGCGCCTTCTCATAATTTAACATATTGAAAGCTCGCCATAATTTTTTTACAGGATATATCGTCGAATGTCCAGCTCCGTTGGTCTTCATGTACCCCCACATGTGTTAATATTACTGAAGGTGAGCAGTCTATCTTCGTGGTTGTGGTGTTGGCAGTTTGTGTTTCTTCTTCTTCCTCTTTGTTCACCGGATGTAAGATCCCGAGAAAAGTCAGGGTTGTTAGTGAATTTGAACTTTGCCTTTGAGGCAGGGCCTGAGTTTTGCATGCACATCTATTTGAATAACGTCTTTATGTGTAGCTGATCGGTCGCTACTGATCGGGCAGATGCATTCCGATTTTAAAGGACGCTCCCAAATAGTCGATTCTTATATCATGCTTTTTGGATAGGCAGTGGGTCTGTTCTAGCTTTCTTTAACAATTGGGCTCCAGGACCCACAGGGAAAGGTTATGCTTAAAAATGATAGATAATAACAATGCATAAGTCACAACAACACATGATACTCCTTTGGTACTAGAAGTCGCTTAACTTGGTTATACATGAACATTTATAGCGTTTCTTGTTGCCAAAAGAGTTTCCCTGGGTTCATCTGGGTAAGGATTCGACATCACTGTACTGAAGACAACCCCAGTAAGCCTCGTCTGCCTTCTTAACAAAATGCAAAGAGTCTGCATACTGTTTGTATCCGTTGTCATCTGGTTAACTCCCCTTTCCGCCCCGGCCCTCCCCCTATATGAGTTTGTTTGTTTGTTTTAGTATCCAGAAGCCTTGAGTTGTTAACCCTTAGGTTCGGTATTATGGATATCGCAACCTTTCGGCCTTGATTCCATTGTAAATACCGTAAATCTGGGAGAAAATGTGGCTTTCCTGCCTACCCCCGGGATTGAACCCGGACCACAAGGAGTACGTCACCCGGTCTCCGCGAAATCCGGTTTAGCCAATTCCACTAGAGAGCCGGGCCCCCCTATATGAGTCTCGGGTGGCGCCCTTTACCGGCAGACACTTTCCATTGCATCATTATCTCCAGGTGCTGGTTTTCAGTATTTAATCGTCTCAAATAAAAATAATAATAAATCATCTCTGCCGGCGATTTCTGGATTGATGAAACCCACTCTATACGAAGAGGCTTGATCCTATCTTCCTGAAAATGCTTTGCGTATCCAATATCATGACAACATGTGTGGCTGAGATTTTCTCCAGTAGATTATGTTATATCCCTTACGTCCTTTTAAGGACGTAATTTTTTGTTATCTGAAGCCCCACTCTGGCTTTTGCCAGGGGCCGCAATATAGGCAGGTCATAAATATGGCCATTTGTCTGAACGCGGTTTCTGGGACCTCTCCACGGTGATCCTCATCCACATGGTGGCACTTTGTGTCATCGGGTGTTTATCGCTTGTGTGATGTCCTAGTGGGGTAGAAAGTCAGTCAGTCAGTCAGTCTCCAGCAGTCGAAAGTCGCAGTTACCACCTCAACCTCCATCGTAACGTTCAACCAGCATCGCTGAAGGGGGCAGTTTTAGGTGATAATTTTGAGGAAGTTATTGCGCCATTTAAAATAGCTTAGCATTGCAGGCGATCAAGAGCCCTGAAAATGACACCTGCAGTGTGGACGCGATAAAAGGAGACGGACCTAAATACGGTCCCCACCAAAGACGAAGTTCTCTACCGGTGAGCCAATCGGCTGCCTGGTTGCCGATGTACCCCTGGGTCATCCTGGTGGAGTGATTCCCTTGTTCTTGGCCTGCAGTGGTGGACGGTTTTCCCTCCCATAAAAATCTTATGTTTACAGTCAGTATATTCTGTTGATTTGCAGCAAAATTGTCCGTTGACTCTGTGTTAAATCAGTGCGGAAGCATCAGACTGACCAGTGGCATACATTTGTATTCCATCCACAGAACCTAGACGATTGGTCCTTTAATGTGTTCGCAGTGAATGACGCAGCAGACGGACATGGACTCAAGTTCGTCGGCTACGAGTTGCTCCAAAAATATGACCTCATCACAAAGTTTAAAATCAACACACAGGTGAGAACGTGCATCAGTGATCCCTACCTCTCTCTTCGAGAGTCTCTTATGACGTAATACCATATACCATTATGTCTTCTGCTTTAATTCCTTCGCTAAGGTGAAGATTCTCAGTCAGCTCGCACCAGGATGTCATATCCAGTCCCCACTGTCAACTATACTCAGATTGAAAGACTTGAGAAGGTGCAAAATGAAGCAATGCGCATTATTCTGTGGTGCACTGGAGACACCTCTTGAGGCAGTGAGGTACCTTCTTGACTTCTCTACCATGAACTACAGGATCAAGATCTGGAGGGCTCGTACATACCTCAAGATAAGCTCAGATCTGAAGCACCCTTTGCACTATATGCTCTTCAAGAAAAAGGGCAATATGCTTAACAGCGGAAAATCATTGCTGGGTAGGGCAGAGGATGACAGTAGGTTTGCAGCCTTACAGATATCCATCTAGGTGAGGAGTGGATACCAGCGTCTAAAACGCTCAATCTCACATTCTCCTGTGTCGTGACGCTCGATAGAAGTTGTCAAGAGCAGAATCCAACTGCTGTCAATGCCGAAGTATGCGCGCTGATCAGTGACAAATCAGATAGGACAGATGTGGTGATCTTCTCAGACGGGTCCGTTATACGAGGACATAAGAGTGCATGGGCATTTACAGTTCGCTCTTCGGGCAGAACAGTTCAAGAAGCCCGCGGTGCCTTCTCCATGACTACCAGCAGCATGACGAAGGAGGTGATGGCGGTGACACAAGCTTCAATGTGGCTTATGTCACAGAACTATTCCTGCGTGTGTGTACTGAGTGATTCTTTGAGCATGATCTGGCGGGACGAGGCAGGCTAGTTACGCAGACATTGGTTTGAGTCTTTGCAAAACCCTCCTATGTGTGCAGTTACCTTCATATTCGTCTCATTGTATGCAGACGTTGTTGGTAACGAAAGAGCTGAAAGACTGGCAGGTGCTGCAAAAATTGAAGATGGCCGGCCCATGGATCAGTTAGACATTGTCATTGCCCTTAGATAAATAGGACGTTCTGAGGATTGTGGGAGCAACGTGGCCACATCACTGCTAAGAATACGAGAATTGGGAGTCAAGATCGGCACAGCCAAGCATGAGAAGCACACTGGACGCACAGGGAGTCTTGTTAACCAACATAGGACTGGCACTATTAACCGCGCGACGCTGATGAATATGCTGAGAGGGGAGTCTGAGCACCTATGGATATGTCTGGAGTGCTGTGAAGATAATTTAACTCATAACATATAACAAAACTCAAAACTCATCCTGTCCCATCACTGATAGTCCCTGACCCTGTTCTCATGTCTTCCTAATCTAATTTATCCCTGACTCTAAATATGCTTCTCTGTATGTTGTTTGGTCTTCCTCAGTAATTTACGGAAAGGATTTATCGAGGAGTTGATAGTGACGGTCTTCGGACGCTAACATCACTAACTAACCTGAGAGCCAAGACTGGCGAAATGCGTCTTTGCCAGCTTTGAAATAAAGATAACATACATTATAATCCACTCCGCATGGTAAAAGTCAGTATAGGTATATCGGCACAACACAGCAGCCCATTTAAATGCCCTAGCGAAGCTGCAACTATGGGCCAGTGAGCAGCTGTTAAAGTATAATAAGTCGACAAAAAGACATTCAGGAGACCCACCTCGAAAAGCACACCTAGGCCGTGGTTTTTTTAACGCTGGCCACAGTGGGGAAAAGGCAGACACATTTCCAGTCTTGTATACATCAATCTATTGCAAAATCGACGCTTCGTTGGATAGGTCATCTTGTATTACTTCCACCCAGACTTTAGGAGACAAAAAGGAGGTGGTCACTGACAGGCAATTTCCTTGGTAAAAGACAAGTCACTTTTGACTGTCGGTGATTTGTGAATCAGATGAAAGGAATATTTTTTGCCTATTCTGTTCAATTAATGCAACAAATAGATAAATAGTGCCCGGATGTAGTATTTGTTTAAACTATTATTACTTTGCTTTTTATAGGTCTAGCCCTATATGCCCTATTCGCCTTAAGCGTGGAAAAGGGTCCTTTACTTACTATTTTTTTTTAAATTCTTTGCTTTTAAAACTAATTATAAGAGACGAACCGGAAACACTAGGAGCCGCCATGGTGTAACGCGTAGACGCTAACCTGGGTCTCGAAAGTTGTAGGCTCAAATCAACATAGAGATAGATTCATCCACACACACACAAAAATGAAATTGCTCCTAGCTCGACTTACCCTAAAACGCGTACAGGTAAAGTCATGGGAAGTAAAAGTGGCTTGTGTAATGTTTATCACATCATTAACCAATGCCGATTGGTGTGTAAAATAACACTATATGCTCAATAAGCATAACAGCGTGAAAACGTGGTATTCTCTTTTACCTGACATAGAATAAAGGAATGAATCATGAACTGACATCGTTGCACTCCGGACGTTCCCACACGGGCTCTGTCCCTTCTCTCAGAAACCAACGAACTGTTGGTCCCCCCCCCCCCTCCCTTTCCGTCTTTTTTCCTATCTCCACACCGTTGAATTAGTCTTTCAGTTTATGCATTCCCTATCTTTTCTTTTGCACTGTCCGTTTGATCCCACTGGTGAAACACGTCTTTGCCGGCTTTGAGATAAAGATACATACATTATTAGACGCCTTCACCAGATCTGCTTTATCATATAGTAGATTACCGTCCAGAAGAGCGGGAGCAGCTAATCTATCAACACACTCATTACCTGGCACACCTGAATACCTAGACATAAAATCCGTGATATGTTCTTGATCTGGTCCTTATCGAGTGATGCGAGCCTCTCTGTGCGCCTGACGCCGGTTATAATTGTCCGAATCATGCACTGTGTCTCACAATTACATGTCAGGCTGCGCTGCTCTCATCGCAAGGCTGCCAATACTGCCTCCATTCTGATACTAGATGTAGTGACGTTGTACGCGAGGCTCTGTGTTTTCAAGCAGTGTCCATTCACTTTTGTAATAAAATCCCGCCCACTTTGTTTATTACCTCTCACTACGGACCAATCTGTGTATATTACGATGTCACCTGCGCATAAAATTTCAATGGTCAGCACCGCTGAGTCTGTTTCAACAGCAATCCATTCCCGGGTTCCTCAGTCCAAGGTGACTATCCCTTTGTGTAAGTCGGTTTTGCTTTGCAAGACTGTAACCCATGCGTCAGCATGCACTTTCAGGTGCACAAACAGCTCTGATTGTGACTCCTGTCTGTGCCATCCAAGAGACACATCTTTTCAGCCTTTGTCCCTTGCTATCCACCAAAGCCCCAGGCAGAAGGTGTTCCCTGTCTTTCGCAACTTCAAGGTACCGTTTCGCCTGTAAAACTTTGTATATTTCTAAAACAGATAGTAATGAAAGTATGTAACACATGCACACAATTGGCGTTTCTCGTGAACATCCTAAAATGACTCGCATGGCTTCATTTTTTATGCGTTCTTACTTCTTTATTCGGGTATAATATAATGTCAGCAGCCCCATACCATACTTCATCGCCGAAATAATATGTTGCTGGTAGAGTAAAAAGAGTATTTTGTGATCGAAGTCCGCTGTTGCAATCGCCTTCAAAGCATTAAGTCCTGTCCCTGCCTTTAACACTATCTATTCCACGTGCGTGGTATTTGAAAAACAGACTACTGTTAAAAGTGCTTCATAGATTTTTAGTGAAATGGACACCAGAGGGTAAGAGAAAACAACATGGAGACGAACGATGGAAAGTGACCTGAGTGCGGCATCTTTGACATGGAAAACTGCACTGAAGATTGCACAGGACAGGAAAGCATGGAAAGTCCTCTCTGAAGCCTCATGTGCCACTAGGCATAACGAGAACTGATACTGAATATATGATCTCTCTGTATATTAATGCCGTTTATAGTGATGTCCGACAACGCATCTCTAACAATTATATTAGTTAATAAGAAAACTCCACAATACCGTCGCCTTATCTGGGTTGATAATCTAACCTGTTTCTCCAAACCACTTACCGATCATACCTACCGCGAACTGCAACTCTTTAGGCCTATTCTGTTTCTCCCCTTTGAGTAGACTTTAGGACATTGTCAGCAAAAGTTAAGATTCTCCTCACCCCCGTTGTCTGTATTTCCGCTATCCTGCTTGTATGTACATTGTACAGCACTGGGGAAATGAAGGAACACTTTGGGAAGCCAGGTGCGATACTGTATGATTCTACCTGACATAATACTCACCTAGATTGTTGTTGTCATATGATTCTCTGCTTTTCAGTACATTTATGTTTAATTAGAAGGATGGATTCTAACAACCGTTTGCTGTCTGCTCTCTTCCCATGATCAGATGCTCGAGAGTTTTCTCTTCGCCCTGGAGAACGGATACAACAAATACAAGAACCCCTACCACAACCTGGTCCATGGAGCTGATATTGCACAGACAGTCCACTTCGTGTTGTCGAATAGTCGACTAGCGGTAACACTAGCAGATACTGTGTACTATAGTTTGTGGTGGTATAGAAGCACATGTGTTGTTCTGTAGTGTGTGATAATTCTAGCACATGTTGTGTACTGTAATGTCTGGTGATGCCACGTCTTTCTATGAGTACCGTTCGATACATGGTCTGTTTGTTTAGTATGTATAATGTTTATACGACCTCGAGAGTTTATTATAGTCAGCTTTTTCAAATGTCTTCTCCCCTAAACAACCTTAAAAATAGCCGTTACATATGCCGATAACCATATTCAGATAAGAGAAAGCGCCATATTTCTTGATGTCCCTCTTTGGGCTCTTTGATAGTCTGATCTCAGACAGTTTTGTTTTTTTATTTTTGTTCTGTGAAATAAGCTGGACCATTGCTTTGTATATCCGTCAAATTACCCACACTCACACATACACACAGCTGGTCACGTTATAGAGGCTAAATCACTTTTGTATGGGGGGAAAAAGTTCAAGTTGTCTACAAACAACTTTTAAAGGTGGTCACCATTTTGAGGTCGTCTTCCAATGGGTATATGCAGTGACTGTCCAGTCAGTGAAAATTATCTCAACACAGGGAGCCGGTCAACATAGAGAGCCGGTCAACATAGAGAGCCGGTCAACATAGAGAGCCGGTCAACATAGAGAGCTGGTCAACATAGAGAGGTGGTCAACATAGAGAGGTGGTCAACATGGAGAGGTGGTCAACGTTGGAACTTCTACTATATATATATGGGTGTGTGTGTGTGTGTGTGTGTGTGTGTGCGTGTTGACGTGCGTGTGTGTATGTGTATGTGTATATGGTTAACCAGAAGCAGATGTATTCTATAAGCCAACTCTTTTAATCATAAACGTCAAAGAATTATTCTGCTTCAAATCCATCAATCATCTATCTAACCTTCTATCAATTCATTCATCTATAAGTCTATGATTCTTTCTATTTGACTGCCATTCGATCATTCAGTGGTCTATCTTCAGTCTGTTTTCTGCCTCTTTGTCCCATTCACATGAATTACCGTGATAAATTAATAGTTCAGTGATACTCAGTATTGTATGCTATCATTGTAGCAATGGCTGACCGACCTGGAAGTGTTCGCCACTTTGATAGCCGCTCTCATACATGACTATGAGCATACAGGAACCACCAACAACTTTCATATTAACACATCGTAAGTAAAAGCAATATAATTTCAGATACGTTTGTACTAGATGGAAACCACAACCTTCATGCTATCATATAACGTGCATGCAGAAGTAAAGAACCGCATCTGGTACATCTTCTTCGGTTTTTTGTTTTTGTTTCATTAACCGGCTTTAAACCCGAAATACATTTTCGCTGTTCATCAACTTCTGGGATTTAGTCTTGCTCTAGAATTCGATTTTTGTGTGCACATTCGTTTAATAAAACAGATCTGGCTTTCTCCGTGTGGGTTCGGGAGCTCTTTTTTTTGGGGGGAAAACAAGAATAAAACCATTGCCTACTTAAAAGCATGTCGTAAGAGTCGACTAATTGGGAGCTTCCTTCGAAGTCGGAGTGCATCTGCCTGACAGGCAAGGAACCAGAAGTCTGCATACAAATGAGTCAGATCTGTAAAACGGATGCAACACTCAGGTTCTGGAACAGGACTGCAGTCCAAAAGTGGATGAACAGCCAGAACTTTCCGCCAGAGTTTACAGCTGGTGAACACGAAGAATAAGAAGAAGTTCTGGTTTATTTGTATGCAGACTTTTGGTTCCTCATCATCTGTAATTATTCAGCTATTAGGACATGCTTCTTAGACGAGAGTGGGTTAATTCCCTTCCCCCCACCCACTTTTGCCACACCACGATAGGGCCCTTGAACCCACAAAGCGACAGCACTAGCCATTGGGCCGTCAGTCCTCAGGCTGAAAGTTTCCCCTGCCTACACCGCAAAAGTGGTAAGAGGACCAGCTGGCCGAACGGTTGGAACGTTGGACTCTCAAGCGGGAGACCCGGGTTGAAATTCTCGGTAAGGCTGTGGACTGTTTGTGTCGGTGGCATCAACAACCAAATTCCTCATCTGCACAGTCGTGGCGACAGCACTAGCCATGCGGCCGTAAACCTCAGGCTCAAAGACCCCTCTGCCTACACTGCAAAAGTGTATAATAAACGCAGTAATTAGCAAAACCGACAAGGGCAGATTTGGGCACATGACGCTAGACTCATATACATACATATATATATATATATATATATATATATATATATATATATATATATATATATATATATATATATATATATATATATATTCTCCTAAATTATCCACACTTGAGTAATGGAAAGAAACCATAATGAAAAATAACAGAATAGAACTTGAATGTACAAAATTTGAAAGCTTTTTTTTAAGACAAGCAGAGACATTTAAGTGTCTAGGCACATGGATAGCATCCGAAGGAAGATGTACCATAAATACACAGGATAGAATCATCATCACCAGGTAGAAGGTCCTTTGCTTGACGTCGCTTTCATCATAGTCTGCCTGAAAGAAACTCGGTCTCTCGCCAACTTTCCCGCCTCATGTACTTTTATACTCAATGAGTCACTTATATCCTGTGCCCATCTTCGTGTCAGTCGGTCCCTGCCCTCCTTTCTCGCACCATGCCTTCTGCTATAATTTTGTCCAATCCGTCGCGGTGCTTGATATGACAAAATATTTCAGCTTCCGAGACTGGATGCTGTTTTATGTATATAAAAACTTATATATATATATATATATATATATATATATATATATATATATATATATATATATAATATATATATATATATATATATATATATATATAATTAAATTTTCCCACGCTTAACATAACTCTCAGTGTATGCTGAATGTTAACTTTTCAGTTAAGAATCGGCATCACAGCACTCGGGACATTCCCATAAGCGCTGTATCCCCATCTTCAGCAGCAAGCTAAGGGTTCCAATTCTGATGCCACGAGTACCAGTAGGATTGTCTCGCCTATCCTTAGAGTGTCGATCGTCGGCCAGATAGATCCCTTGGTAGCTTGCACATATTTGTGTTGCAGACCCGAGGTAGCATTGCTGTTTGAAAGTCTGTACATATTTGTGTTGCAGATCCGAGGTAGCATTGCTGTTTGAAAGTCTGTACATATTTGTGTTGCAGACCCGAGGTAGCATTGCTGTTTGAATGTCTGTACATATTTGTGTTGCAGATCCGAGGTAGCATTGATGTTCGAATGTCTGTACATATTTGTGTTGCAGATCCGAGGTAGCATTGGTGTTTGAAAGTCTGCATATATTTGTGTTGCAGATCCGAGGTAGCATTGCTGTTTGAAAGTCTGTACATATTTGTGTTGCAGACCCGAGGTAGCATTGCTGTTTGAAAGTCTGCATATATTTGTGTTGCAGATCCGAGGTGGCATTGTTGTACAATGACAGAGCAGTCCTGGAAAACCATCACATCAGTGCTGCGTTTCGATTGGTCAGGGAGGAGGAACACAATATTTTATGCAATCTGAGTACAGAGGAGTACAGGTATGATTATGTATACCATGTCTTGCAATCATTTATCTTTTATGGCCCATATAAAAAAGGGGGGGTTGGGGGGCGGGGAGATTGTGATCCACTAGTTCAGCACCATACTCAGAGCTGTTTAGAAAAAAATATGAACTCCTAAAAACTCTTTAGAAAACGGTCAATTGTTTAACAAGGCTTCATCGGTCGGTGTAAACAGGGATGAGGTCAGAAAAAGAAGTGGGATTAAACTGATCCTTATCTTACAGAGCTGTCATGTCTCAACCATTAAATATAATTGTCCCTAGTACCCCTATTTTAGCAATCGTTGGAGGAAACAAATGGGTAGGGTGTAAAACAAGAGCAGTAATGTCTTGGACCCTAATGTTTGAAGCCACGTGACTAACTATCGAAGTCGCTACCAGCGATATAACTATTTATATCATCTTACCTAGGATACGAGACTTGATCACTAATATGTGAGGTATGCTTTCTCACAGTTAGGCCAGGTGATTGTTTTCATCCATTGAATTAGTAAATATTGGCATATGAGCAGAATTTTGCAGAAATATTCTTAGAAGAGATTAAGAAAGTTTAATAAACCATTATATGTCTACCCAGCCTTTAGTGAATACCAGGTACAGTCCTGGGAAGTAAAGGTGGCCGGCGTGATGCTGACCACATCCCCCACCAAATGTCATTTGGTTCATAAAATATAGGTCTAACCAACATTTACTCAATACGTCTGAAATAAGTTGAAAAGGGTCCTTTCCTTGAAATATTAACTTTTACTAAATCGTTATGCAACCTAAATGTCTGTTTATTGACGTTTGATTCTGTTTCTATTTTTCACAGGGAGTTTGATTCTGTTTCTATTTTTCACAGGGAGTTTGATTCTGTTTCTATTTTTCACAGGGAGTTTGATTCTGTTTCTATTTTTCACAGGGAGTTTGATTCTGTTTCTTTTTTCCACAGAGAGTTTGATTCTGTATCTATTGTCCACGGGGAGTTTTATTCTGTTTCTATTTTCCAAAGCGAGTTTGATTCTGTCTCTATTGTCCACAGGAAGTTTGATTCTGTTTCTATTGTCCACAGGAAGTTTGATTCTGTTTCTTTTTTCCACCGAGAGTTTGATTCTGTTTCTTTTTTCCACAGAGAGTTTGATTCTGTTTCTATTGTCCACAGGGAGTTTGATTCTGTTTCTATTTTCAACAGGGAGTTTGATTCTGTTTCTATTGTCCACAGGGAGTTTGATTCTGTTTCTATTGTCCACAGGAAGTTTGATTCTGTTTCTTTTTTCCACCGAGAGTGTGATTCTGTTTCTTTTTTCCACAGAGAGTTTGATTCTGTTTCTTTTGTCCACAGGGAGTTTGATTCTGTTTCTATTTTCCACAGGGAGTTTGATTCTGTTCCTATTGTCCACGGGAGTTTTATTCTGTTTCTATTTTCCAAAGGGAGTTTGATTCTGTTTCTTTTTTTCCACAGGGAGTTCCGGACCTTGGTGATAGACATGGTCTTAGCCACTGATATGTCTTTCCATTTTCAACAAATTAAGAACATGAAAGCATTACTGGGTATGCCCGAAAAGTAAGGCATCTTTTTTTTTTATTAAAAAAAATGTATACCCCTTTGTAACGGTTTATCTTTGTTTTTATTGTAAGTGATGTTTTCCTACAGTTTAATTATTGGTGAGCTGTATTGTGTCCTGGTCCTCCAGGCTCGGGGGTTGGGCGCAGTGTTGACAGCTCTGCCCTGTAAAAAATCTACAACGTTACTGAAACTTCAAGAGGAAAGAGGAAAATCAAAAAACTTTAGACAGTATGATTACCAAGAGAAGATGGAAATGGCTTGGCCACGTTATGAGAATGACTTCTGATATACCTGCCAAAACAGCTCTCACATGGACACCAGAGGGAAAGAGAAAACAGGGGCGCCCAAAAACAACATGGAGACGAACGATGGAAAGTGACCTGAGTGCGGCATCTTTGACATGGAAAACTGCACTGAAGATTGTACAGGACAGGAAAGCATGGAAAGTCCTCTCTGAAGCCTCATGTGCCACTAGGCATAACGAGGGCTGATGATGATGTATTTTGTTTATTGTCTCCCTTTAAAATGTTAAAATCCATTCCGTAGCACGCAGCTCAACCTTCGTTGATTACTTAGTCCAGAGGCTATATACCTTTCTATTTGCCATCTAACTTAGTTACTTTTCTAATTGCGTGCCCTTTACAAGTATTTACAAACCCAACTCCTGCTTTTTATTTCTGCGTGTGATTTTACTAGGCAAATATAACGTTCCGTTGTTTGCAATTGCTCCTCAACGGTCGGCTCTGGATACCAGTGTGTAAACAAATGAGATGATTTATGTTGGCAAATTGCCCACACATGGGATCAAACCCGGCACCACGGTTTTACGAAGTTCGTTCACAATGCCTAAGCCACAGACGCTGAGTTAGATATGATGTTAAATTTGCTCATTCTGTAGAAATTATTATGTTAGAACTCACTGATCATTGTAAGGTCATTTTTATTTCTTTGGACTCAAGCATGATTACTTTTACCCTTTCAATCCCTCCAGTTGCAGAGTCAGTGCGTTTCCATCCCACGGTGTTTCGCTCTTAGAGGAACAGTCATATAGCCTGAAGTGAAGGACTCTTTTCCACGCTCTTCAGGCGTACTGGGTATATGGGGCTAGATCTATATTACAAAGACCAAACGGCTCTTGGTTGGTGATGTGATCAGCATTACGCCGACCGCCTTTACTTCCCAGGACTGTACCTTGTACCCACTCAAGCTGGGTCGACCTGGGAGCCTAGGTCATTTTTTGGAAAAAGTCCGGCCTGATATAGCCTGAAGGAGATAACTAAGACAACTTTGGGACAGAATATTTACATTTACTGATGCGATGAAAATAAGTTAAAAGTTACAGAACAATAGGACAGAAGGAATTAACCAATGTATATAATGCATAAAGAAATTCAAAACGCTTGGTGGGTTGTTAAGTACCCAACCACCCACACCGGCCTATAAGGCAGCTTGGAGCCGTTTTCCTGTGCGCCGATATAAACGCCTAGTATGGCTTGCTATACAGTTGAAGGCTTTTCTAAGATGTGTCACTGTTCGACTCTTATTTTTGAGATGTTAAACAGACTGAAACCCTAGGGGGAAAAAAAGGGGGGGGGGGGGGTTTAAAAAATGTTAATGGCAGATCCTGAAAAAGTTCAAGAAAATGTCTTGGAACTCAAAGAGTTAAAGTAATTAAGGAAGGTAGTAGTAGAGTTACATCCTCCAATGAACGTAACATTGTGACAACAGAGATGAAATGCCTTAGAAGAGTTGAAGGAGTTTCAAGGAAAGACAGAATACGAAATCATGAAATCAGACAAATGTTAGGAATACAGCCAGTCTTGCATGTCATCAAAGAACAACAAATGAAGTGGTTTCGACACTAACAAAAATGCCCTGGTACTATCCGCCACAGCGAGCCACACTAAACGTTACAACGGGTATAGAGCGAGTGGAAGACCTCGGAAAATATGGAGTGATGGCATTAAGAACAGCCTTACAGAAATTAACATCAGTCCTAATAGTGCTCTTGAGAGCGCATCAACGAACATTACATCTCCCCCCGACACTTCGATGAGGTACATGGTGGAAAAGAAGAAGAATAAGTAGAGTTTAGATATCAGTTGTGCGCTAAATAATGCTTTTCTTCACAACTGATATTACACATATTATTAACTTGCAGCATTGAGAAGTCCAAAGTGTTATCACTGGTGTTGCACTGTGCTGATATCAGTCACCCTGCCAAAGACTGGGAACTCCATGAACGTTGGACTGGTTTGCTCTTGGAGGAGTTTTTCAGACAGGTATTTGTCTCCTGGGCCCTAGGTATGCTTGTATACCTTCCAGTCCCACCCCAATGGATATACCCGGACATTACAAACTATGACTCACTCACCGAGAAATCCGCATCCTTGATTCTGATTTCTGCAAAGAGTTTTATTTCATATAACATTGCTTACGTCTGCCAATTTAAGGCCCTTTCTTGTGTTTTCACTTCGTTTTGGTGTGACCAGCTCCATTGTCTTCACACATGTTCAGTTTTTCTTTGCTTTAAAACATATTAAATATATTGTGCTATTTCCATTTCTGTTCATAACAAGTTAAATTTCTTCTGGACTTTAGTCTTGTTCCTGAACCCGAGTGTTGCGTGTACATCCAGTTTACAGATCCGTTTTTTTTTTATGCAGACAGTCATTGCCCTGCCTCTCAGGCAGATGCACCCTGACTTCGAATTAAGCCCCTCATTAGTAGACTCTTAAGACGCCCTTTTTGGGCAGGCAGTGGTATATACTTATCCCCTCTCACAACGGGGCCTAATGGAACCCACATGGGAAATTTTGACATTTCATACCCATCTTATTTTCCCTGAACTGTCCTCGAGTGAATTTTAGTCTGGGTTAAAATATTTATGTAAACGGTTGGCATGTGACTCCTTGCGTGTTCTTCACAATTGTTTCTGATGTATTATCCCGCTAGGGTGATCGGGAGCAGGAGCTGGGACTTCCATTTTCCCCTCTCTGTGACAGAAAAAATACTCTGGTCGCTGAATCTCAAATAGGTAAGTTATTTATGTTTTATTTTATCATCATTGTCATGTACCTTGTCGCTTTGTGTTGACAATACTGCTCTCCACTTCCTGCGATCTTTCATAGCGTGCACTCGTTCATGTGCTGATATTTCTCCATTCCACAACAAAAAGCTGTCACGAATGTTCTCTTATTGTTGTCCTCTGTCTCTCTTTTCACACATATTTCCAGTGATCAGAAAATGTTCAGTTTTCCCTCTATTCATAAAATGGCTAAAAATTATGACGGTCTCCTTCTTTAAATTACATCCTTCGTTAAAATCTTATTGTACCCTACTATTGTCAGTTCAAATTATTTATATTATCATTTCCTACTCGACTGTTGAATTTGTTCACATACATCTTTTTTTAGTTCTTCCGCTCTTTCTTAGTATTCTGTCACATACAGCTAATTGCCTGCGATGTTGTATACAAATTTTATTTCTCAGTTTTGCTAACTCTGTTGAGAACCTAGGCAGAGCAGTAGTTGCATGCTCGTCAGCCAGCCAAAATATCTTTGGTTCAAATCCTCATAAAGGCAAATCATTATAATTGTTTTTGGTGAGTGCCGAGGTTGAGCCAGCCGAACATAGGTACAGGAAATAGCATCAAGTAAACAAGATAAAGAAAAGATGCTGGCGTTGGATAGGGCATATGATCAAAATACCGGATAATAAAATAACAAGACAGCGTTTACTCTACAACCCATGGAGGCAAAGAAAAAAAAAGGCAGACCACGATCACTTTAATAGGGGAACTATGAAGAAGATAGAATACATGGCATGAGCTGGTTGAGGGAATGTACTGCATAGGGGTATAACTGGGGAATAGGCTGCTGTCTAAGGAAATATCCTGTTTTGGCCTCCAATTTCTTCCAGTGGGCGAATATCACACTACTGGTTTAATGCAGGAAAAAATATGTATGGCCATTTCAAGCGCCATGGCGGATTCGCTAAAATATTAGCGGAAGACATGGTACCAGCATAGAGGGACAGGTGCCGACCAACACAACGATAGGGGCAAGATTTAAGTGACTCCTTGTATGTGAAAGTCCATGAGGTGGGAGAGCTCGAGAGAGACAGTTTCGTTTCGTCAAGCAGTGATGATAGCGACTTTCTGCAAAGGACCTATTATTTAATGAGATAATGACCGACAACCACAGTAATTAATCTCAGTCTTATACAAAATACACACCTGCTTTTGCTGTGTCCAGTTTCCTCATCATTTCAAGTTTCAGTGTGGATCACTTGAGTTTGACCTCAATTCTCTAACTTTTTTCAGGCTTCATTGACTTCATTGTCGACCCTAGCTTCCAGGTTATGGGGGACATGTTGGAGAAGGTCATGCTGCCTCTCCATCAGCAGGCGCCACTGTCGATGAACCGAAACATAGATGAGGCGATCACTGAAGAAGTGGTTGACAGCAAGGAGAGGAGAGAAAAGACTCCAACGTTGGGCAGCTTTGGTCGGCATACATCAAAATTGCCTTGTAAGTTAAATGACCGGGAAGTGTGTATGTGTAAGGGAAAAGATGGCGATGGGAGGTGGGTTGTGTGTGCTTTCACTACGAATTGATTGATAAGTTGAGTATAAGCTGTAAACGGAAAGAAATGTATTGAAAGAAATCAAAGCTAGGGGGGATAAGTGGGAATAGAAAGAGCGTTGTTGGAATAATTAACAAAAATACATGCACATATTTTGACCCTCTCGAAACGCCCATAATCGTTATAAAAAGCCACATTGGGTTCACCGGTGGTGGTGAAGTGTAATTAACAATATAGATTTATTACATAATATGATCTTCATTTTTACAGTTTCTGCATTTTATATGACTTTTTCAGTTTTCTAGACCGCTTTGATTTGGTTTCAATAAATTATTAGAATATGACCATTCAAGAAGCAATAGAAAATTATTGAACGTAAAATTGTCTAGCAAAATCACAACTAGCCAAGAAAAAATAACGCTGGGGTTTGGATTCTCAAGATCCTGTAAGGATAAGCAACTAGCCTTAGATGCTATTTATGTAGTATATCTTTGATTTTATGTAATGCAATTAATAATTAATTTTTTTTCAAAGTATGATAATAACATATAACTTACACTATTTATGCGGCGTCCTTGGCTTTGGTGTTGCGAGTCCGACTCGTAATTCCAACGTACCGAGATCGAAACGCACTGCTTGCTGCATTGATTTTTATCATGGTATGAGGCGTCGCAGGTTGACCCAACCTAAAATGGGTACCAGGATGGCTGTCCTGGGAAAGTAAAGACGACCGGCGGAATGCTGACCACATTATCCCCCTAGTGCCGATTAGTCTGAGAAAAACAATAAGGGGGGTTTTCCCGATATGCCCGATGCGCCTAAAGGCGCGAAAAGACATCTTTACTTACTTCACTTGTAAAATATTTATAATAGGTAACATTTATAACTAAAACAAATCGGGTGTATGTAATAAAATATAAAAAATTATTTGAATGCTTGGAACTGACTCAAGCAAGGGCTAATTGCTGTAGGAGTGCATGTTTGGGCACGCTAATAGTCTTCAATAGATTTGTCATCACATAAATTGAATGTAACAGTCGATAGAAGTTTCATAATAAACGACGCCTTTGTAATTGTTTAAATTGTGCTATTACTTATCACAGATGGACGTTACGAACTAAAGCGACCGTGGAATGATTGCCTTGTGAAAAACAAATCACTGTGGAAAGTTCGAGCAATCAAAGGTATACAATTCAATCTGGCATGTTTATTATTATTATTATTATTATTATCATTTGTTTTTTTTATTATTATCGTCAATGCTTCTCAATACCATCCCACTATATGATGGGTCTTTAAACAACTCTCACCAAGGCGCTCTATTTTATGCCATTCTCCAGTTGGGTGGACATTTTTCTGTTATTCGGTTCTCCATCCCCCCCCCCCCTACCCCCCTTCTTTTTCCCCCAGCCAGTTCCCATCCTTTATTTTTATTCTTCGCTTATTATTATGGAAGATTATACATAAGTGGTTCTGAAACCTAGAACACACCTTGTTGCCAGCGCCCCCCCCCCCCCCCCCCCCACCCAAAAAAATTATTTAAACAGTTTGGATCGATCATCAAGGGTCTCCATGGCCACGTTGTTAAAGCATGTGCCTCTTGGCCTGAAAGTAATGTGTTCATTTCGCGGCTGCTTCTTTCGACTCAGGAGTGCAGCAGTTTTTACAGAGAGCTCCGGGAATCTCACCAGAGGTGCAAAGTTCATGCTTTGTCCATGATCATGTCAGGCGGCTAGCCGTTCTGGGAAAAACCCAGCCAGTTGATTGAAACCCATTGCACTTAAGTGGATCCTCTTGATTACAACCTTTAAAACCTTTTTCCAATCACATATTCAGACTGAGAGGAATTTTAGCGGGAGAAGCAATAACGAAATTTATAATGTGTTCACAACTGATCACTGGTATCAGGAAGGCTAATGGATTTGAATGGTTCGGACATAAAGAGAGATAGATGGCAGAAAGGCTGTGTACACTAGGGTGTTAAATAGTTGTAGAACATCAAGGCTGAGAATTATTACCTTCTGCTTGAAGAAAACGAATATCACAGCTAGCTGAACGAGCAAGTGACTGGATCCATGTTTATTCATTGGCAGACCTACTGCTGAACAACTGCGACTGTAGATTGGTGTATAGTAAGCTAAAAGGCTGCTGAATGATGCAAGCAATGAATGTTGTCGCTACGGCAAACTTAATATTTTCCCCTAAGAACTGTCCAATTGGATTATAATTTTGTACTAGCCGTCATATGTGCATTGTCAGATGCCTTTTTAAAATGCACGAAAACATTATTTTAACATCTTTTATATACCATTTTTGTTTCTAATATATGCCATAAAATGAATATACGAAATATTGTTGATCTGTTCTGTCAGAAATCATTTTGTAATCACCCAGTATATCCTCGACGTATGATTTTAGCTTCTTTAGCAGTAACGCGATAGTATCTTACAGCATGTAGACTTTTTCTTTTCCCCACACACATACACACACACACACACGCGCGCATATATATATATATATATATATTTTTGCATATATATATATTTATATTTGCATATATATATTTATATATAAACGAATGCTGACTTGGTTTGCAACATTCTTTGAAAACACACACACACACACACACACACACACACACACACACATCCTGCAACACAACTAACTGTTTCAGTTTTTAAAAAAAGTTGGTAATTTGATATTTTTTTTAGACAACAAATGTTAACTGGTTTTTTTTATTAGTCTTTTTCTAATCATACAGTTTATTTATGGTGTTTGCTGCCTAGCATAATATAATGAAAAGTGACAAACCAAACTAAAAATAAAACAAGTCAGCTTCATATTTTCACAAGCACAAACAACAAGTGGACCTTGCAGCTAGAGAGCCCTGACAAACATATGACATGAGTATACACAGCCAAAAATACAAGATAGAATACACACAGTCATACAACTGGAGTATCTCTGAGACATATCTGCATCACATATCCCTAACGGAAATATCTACATCTCGTATTTATCTGGCCAGTTGAATCTGATAAATTTCTGCATCACATATCCCTAACTGAAATATCTACATGCCGTGTCTATCCGGCCAGTTGAATCTCTGACTCGTGTGTGACTCTGCATCTTGTATCTATCTGGTCAGTTGAATCTCTGACTCGTGTGTGACTCTACATCTTGTATCTATCTGGTCAGTTGAATCTCTGACTCGTGTGTGACTCTACATCTTGTATCTATCTGGCCAGTTGAATCTCTGACTCCTGTGTGACTCTAAATCTCGTATCTATCTGGCCAGTTAAATCTCTGACTCGTGTGTGACTCTACATCTTGTATCTATCCGGCCAGTTGAATCTCTGACTCGTGTGTGACTCTGCATCTTGTATCTATCTGGTCAGTTGAATCTCTGACTCGTGTGTGACTCTACATCTTGTATCTATCTGGTCAGTTGAATCTCTGACTCGTGTGTGACTCTACATCTTGTATCTATCTGGTCAGTTGAATCTCTGACTCGTGTGTGACTCTACATCTTGTATCTATCTGGTCAGTTGAATCTCTGACTCGTGTGTGACTCTACATCTTGTATCTATCTGGCCAGTTGAATCTCTGACTCGTGTGTGACTCTAAATCTCGTATCTATCTGGCCAGTTAAATCTCTGACTCGTGTGTGACCACTAGAAATAAATTCTTTGCAGAAATGCCAGGACGGCAAGGGCCGTAACTAAAACAATATGAGATAAAGAATTATGGATGTTAGGTCCCCTACTTAGCAAATGCATGCGCCTGCTAACTAATCGACATTATTTTAGTTAGATCTGTTCGAGAAACAGTCTTTTACATGAGTGTTATACTTTAGACCTTATGTGTGGGAAAAAAAAATGTTTGGTAAATAGTTTGCCGTTTCCACATTGAAACGTGTCGGGGTGTACATACTGGTGTCTTTAATGAATATTGCAGGGAAAAACTCGGTATCTTGTATGGTACGACACTCATACTGTTGTTGGAAAGAAGCAATAAATGGGTTTTTAACAACCCCAAGCGGGAAACGAAACCTATACCCGAAAACGACAGCCTTGTTAAACACATTTACTAACCTCTAAGCCACAATTTGATGTTAATAGATGAGTAACTATTAATTCTCACCTTCAGATGCTGAAGACAGAGAAAAAGCCAAGAACTGTGCCTCTGAAGGAGATAAAGATGAATCACAACATGACTCTGCAGAGTCTCCCAGCTCCATCCCGCAAATAACATCATCACAGTCATCTTTGCCAGCGACATCATCTTCATTAGTACCATCACCAACTTTGCAAAAACCCAAACCCTCACCGAAACCACCACTGTCCCAGACCAAATCTTCCAATGTGATGAACCAGATCCACCCCTCAGATACAAATCCTCCCACGGATACATCCTCAGATATTTGTTCTAAAGAGACTGCAAGTCAAGAATGATGTCGAAACTAGGAGTGACTGAACTTGAGCTGAAATCAAGAACTGGATTAACTTAACACAAAAAGCGACTAACAAATTTAACAATGGGCAAGGAAGTGAACAGCCGCGGACTGATACCACACTTTCCGTGTGCTACGTTTACGTTTATTGTGTGGCTTATGACTCCTGTTGTTTTGTTCACTGACAAAGAATTTGGTCGAAACTTGTATGCTTTTTTCCCTTTCTCCTTCTTGAGCATTCTAGCCGCAATTTTTGTGAAGTCATTTTAAAGCTAATAACAACTCTGATGTTCCTGGCGTCAGCCGGATTGTTGAGCTTAAGCCATGAGCCGAGTTGACCAGTTGTATCACTCTAATGTCAGCTCAGATTAATAGTCCTTAAGCATAGAATGTCGTTTAAATGATATCACTGCCTCACAATTAAGCTTTTGACTGCCATTCAGCTTCATCTGGAGAAATTACTGTGATAGTTTGCCCCTGCCTTCCACCTAACATGCCAGTGGAACAAACGTACTTATACAATTAGTAATGCAGCTAGAGATTAGCATACAAGAAAACCAAAAATTAGTTGATAATGTATCTACGAAATTGTAACTTGATTTTATGAATAAATCTTCGGATCTATGCATAAGACCATACCATAATCTCATAAAGATATGTGTAATAACAATATGTTTCATCAAAATGATTTTTGTATGTTGAATATAAACATTGATTTACGTTAGTTTGAATACTGAGCTGATAAAATGTTCCCTATCCTTGTATTGAAATATCTTGGGAGAGGCGGCGGGGTTATAGTTTGATTTCATCAAGAAACCATGTGTCTCCTCATGCTCCTTTGGAAGCTAGTTTGCAATATTTCTTTTGATAACAATAACAATTGGTTAGTTGATAGCTGTAGTTTTTCAATGGCTAGATGCTTGCCTGCTTCAAGGTCTTAGGTTCAAATCAGCATTGAAGCCAGTTTTAATAATGCCCAAGTTAACAGAGCTTACATCAAAGTGGTCTAGATAGTAAAGTCCACAGACACCATGAAGGCAGTAATGGTTGTTCTTTTGCATCAGATGCGCTTCCAGCTTCCAGATCCTGAACTTTTATTATTGTTCTGCCAGGATTTAACCTTAGATAGCAGTCGTCGCAGGGAAGCGCTCTCATCACCGTGCCACAACATGGCCGTTTGAACGTCGCTCAGACATTTTGACAATCTACAAAATGTTTTTTAGTTAGGACGGGCTTCAGCGCCCATCCCACGCAGACGTACATTCTTAATAATGCTGTGATCATTATTGTAAGTAAATTTAAAGTCGGGAGATGTGAACCAGCGTCATTGCACACGGTAATAAACCATAAGTACTCTGCTACCAGTACGGACAGCTGATAAGAAACTGTCCGCCTGTGTCGCCATCCGCACGCAACTCCGTAGCTACAGCGTCGTTCTTTATTTTACCCCGGAGTGGTAACTCTGGTACCCATTACCTAGAAGCTGGGTGAACCCCCGGAACCACCCGGCTTCAAACACCGACCGTGGGCTACAGAGAGTCATAGAGTGATTTGAAAGCGAGTCTTCTATCGACTACGCTAACTCGGCCCCCTTAAATATTATTATTATTACACTCTTAAACACTGAGGATCCTTGGAAAGGGACTGAGGCTGGAGCCCAATATTTTGAATCTATCGGCGCCCAAGTATGACAGTGACTCCTACGTTAATGTACAATATAAAATAGAACTGAAGTAAAGAAATCCAGGGGAAAGTGTGTACAAATATGTAATGTATATATTGAGGGCAAATAAAATAGAAAGCACTGCTAGTATGTGATATGTTGTGACATATGTCAGCTCTGATTCTCATTCCATGTTTTTATATTGCTCATGTGTGGGAGATCATTTGTATGTGAATATCACTTTATTAAACAGATGTGGGAATCGTTGGTATCACACAAACTCAGCGCAATTTTGGCGATTTTCACCTAATTGCTTTTTTTTTTAGGTTTGCTATTTCTCGCTTAACAAAATGCGGAAGGCATACATGTAAATTCCTACTCTAAATGGGTCAAAACGAAGTACTAATTTTCAGTCAACTACACAGTTTGAATTTGCCACAATTTTCCAGGTAATTTTTAACCCTCTAAGACCCTTTGAAAATAAAGTGCGTTCATTCGTTGGTTCAAGGTTCCTATTCGCGTTTCCCGGCCCATCTACACACTGGCTGACCTTTCATTAATGCTTTCTGAGACTGTTCTACGTCAGAGGGGTGTCACGTTGTCTTGCCTCCAATTACATCAGCGCCGATGTGGTGTGTTCTATACTACACGACGACACAACATTTGACGACTGCAGAACATCTAGAACTGGCCCTAACCCACCGCCCTCCCTTATCCACAGTCTGAGCCTAGGTCCCATGAGAGACTCTTTTTCGAAGAAAACAGTACAAAATTACATCCCTATGACCTAGACCAGACTGAGAAAGTGTTGGCCGGGAAACGCAAATAGATCCGTTTAAGAGACCTTAATGTTCACACACGATTATCTCTAAACACTGTTTTAGCACTTAGACGACATGTGGTAGGTATAAATGGTGCTGCATGAACTTGATCTAGCTAAATTAGCTTCTTGATTGTTGTATTCATAGCAATTATAATAGTTATTTTATCAGCATATGAGTATTATACAACTATTCACATCAGTATTCGCTCTTGTGTAAATGACAAGCTAGAAATACATTTTTGTTTTTTGGGGTTTAGTCTCAACAGTTGCGATGTATACAAGAATAAATGGAGGTTGAATCCCTTTTATTTCTCCATCACCTCCAGAGTTTTATTTGCTTAAAAATGTGTCTGGATGAAAGGGGATTTGATTAATAACACTATGGGCTGATGGAAACCGAAGTAGCAACTGCGATAGGATAGGTTTGATCCACAGCTAGATCAGTCACGCTGCTATGAAGTTTTGTTTTTTCTTGTTAAAGATTTCCTAGGTTCTAGTCCCTCCCCCGCTACTTTCCCCAACCCCAGTAACTAAGATACAATTTTCCGAAAACCCCAGATAGCATCAGCCCACGGTTGACCGTGGAGCATATTTTGCGATGACTTCACGTTTTGCAGATTTCTTCTACACACAAAGTGGAGTGGGACTTTACAAACACCCTATCCTGTGTGCGTTGAGTGCTGAACATTTCGTTGCTGCTGTTTTGTGGAGATGTCTAAGATGTGATATACGTTTATTGCTCTTATTATTTCTCTAGGCTTATTCGTGTGGTAAACATTTCTGATAAAGGCTTTACTTGAAAGAATTGGGTTCCATTCCTTCATGAGACGGATTGACTGGGAGCTCTAAGGTCAAAGCATTCTGAAATGGGTACACCAACATGCTCTAGAATGTAACAGCAAGGAAAGTTTGTAGAAACATAAAAGTATTTTTTCGGTGTCGGTGGCTTGGTGTTGCAAAATCGCTTAGTAATTCCAAGTCACTTGGTTTGATTCCACCTGTGGGTGATTTGGCAGCAGACCGCATTGTGTTAGTTTCGACAGTTGTGTCGAAAACCGACCATTAAATGGCAATTGCAATCTACTGAACATAAACATGTCTAGTTAAGTTACAAACAGTTGTTCGTCCACTTCTGTCTTTGGTCTTGTACACAACTTGCGTGTTGCGTGCATATCCTATTATATTTTTTTTTTTAAATCTGAAATTTGTATGCAGACTGTTGATTCCTCGTCTGTCAGGCAGATGCACTCAGCCTGACAGAACCCACCCCCACCCCCACCCCCCCCCCACTTAGTCACCTTTCACGTCATGCTTATCGGGAAGCCGTTTGTCTCTTCCCGCCCCCCCCCCCTTCCACCAAATAAATGACGCCATAGAACCCGCACGGGGATTGTGATGAATAAATAATTCAGTCTTAGTTGTTCTTTATTCCTTACTAGAGTTTTGCATTTTCTTCGATGTTATTATCTATTATTTTTTCAACCGTGAGCTTTATACGATACCATGTTATGGTTAACTGACCCACACAATTTACTCCTGTCTTTGTGTCACTTCCACCTGTATTAGTATATGGCTGTTTATTTGATATCAACTAGCAGCTTCGACAACTAGCAACATGATCGGTTAGTTAAACGTTAGTCTCCCTAGACCCCGCCCATTTACACACTAGCTAACTTCTGATTGGTAGTTCTTGAGCCCCGTGACACTCGCACACGATTACGGGGGTGTTCCGCAATGCCGCAGATATCGCGTGTTGTATATTTCAGCACGCCAGTGCTTTTTATAATTCAAAAACAATGAGAAACTGGTTCTCAAACAACCTCCCTGGAGAGTGCTGCAACCTATGTCACAAGCATTCTTTTTCTCGGAATGAAAACGTGAATGCAAGACATCGCAAAAACCATACAACAGAGCAGGACACACATGTAACCTACAGGAAAGTCGATCAGCCCCATAAACTTGTAATAAAAAGTGACCTATTTTACATGGGGGAGACAAACGTCGAACTAACCGCATGACCACTCAGGCAGCCGTGAGGTCGATGCCCACACACCGCAGCTGGTTATTGTCATTATTTCTTTATTGTTACTGTTAAGAGTGCCCCAATGTAACTGATGTACACTACTAAATAGAACACCCGGGAATTGTTCCAGTAGGTTTGACATCTAAATACTAGCTCCTTGAGTCACTAGGTGTCAAACTACCAGGTTACACATCCAGAAGGGATTACAAGAGTGAGGAGGGAGGGGAAAAGAGTGGGGGGGGGGGGTTGGGTGGAATTTGTCAATAAAATTAGGGCTGTACCGAATAGTGATTTTCACTATTCGGCCGAATTCGAATAGTGGGACCAACTATTCGGCCGAATACGAATACGAATAGTGTATAGTGTATACAATATATCTTTTAAAAACACACACACACATTCATAATGTCAAATGTACGCTGAACTTTTACTTCACATATAGTAACCAGAATAGTCACCTTCTTCTTTGAAGACGACTGGTCTTTTCAATGTTTTATATATTTTGATCTTGGTGTTGCGAGACAGACACTTTGACTTTAGCAGATGTTGAAGGGCATAGTATACTTTATTTCTAGAATGTATTCTAGATTGTATTTCTTCTCTCGGCATGTTGGAACAGTTCAAAGTTTGCACCTAAGTACTTTTATGTTTCCGTTCGTTTGATTTTTATATTATTTACTTGTATGTGGCCGGAGTTTATATTCTTTCCATGTCTAGTTAGTATTCGTATAGAATAGTAAACATTTAAAAACATTTTATATTCTGCATCGTTCAGTCAGCCTGTGATAACTAATAACTAGGATTGAAAGAATCCTAAGTATTATAACAAGTAACTAAACTTAAAAATTGTCACTGACAGCTTAGTTAATGCATTAAAACTGTATTAGCTTTCACCAAAACCAATTGTTCCATTATTTCAGCATTAAGGCCGTGTATGCAGAAACGGGGCTAAGCTAACTACTTTTCGTATTCAGCCTGACCGCAACTATTCGGCCGAATACCGAATAGTCAATAGGTCCACTATTCGGCCCCGAAGCGAATACGAAGCGAATTCGAAGCGAATATTCGGTACAGCCCTAAATAAAATAGATCGTCTTGTTTACTAGTGCAAAGATGGCATGTCTAAATGTTAGTGCTACTTTCTAAAGTAGACTTTTCAACTGAGTTCCTCTTTTTTAAACTGCATTTTGTTTGATTTAAAAAAAGAAAGAACTTAGAGAAATGTGTGCGTGTAATTGTGAGAGAGAGAGAGAGAGAGAGAGAGAGAGAGAGAGAGAGAGAGAGAGAGAGAGAGAGAGAGAGAGAGAGAGAGAGAAAGAAAGAGAGAGAATAACAAAAACAAAACAAACTAAATACCCAAGTGTTAAAAAAGGGACATTTTTGATAGAAGTGTAATTTATAACACATTGCATCGTTATGTTAGCATTCAGTTTTTTTTAATGGTTGCGTGGATTGATGGATAGATGGATGGATAAATTGGAGTGGATGAATGGAAGGATTTGGTAGGTGGATATATGCATTTGATGGATGGAAAGATGGACAGACGAGTGGAATGTGTGGATGGATGAAAGACTTTGTGGGTGAGTGGTTTAATGGACGTAAAGACGAGTTGGGTCGATAGATTATGAATTTATAAAATGATGAGTGAGTGGATGGATGGACGGGAGAGAGTAAACTTTATTTTTATAACATTGTTGCTGCTTATATTTTGTTACCCACCTGTTGTAAAATGTCATTTCTATACTCTTTTTTCAGCCCCTCTTGCCTGTCATGCACATAAGGCTACTTTGTCTGTTAAACACTTTTGTTTGAAATGCTCCATAAATTCCATTTATTTTTTGGTTATTCCTTTGATACCCTATCTGGTGACACCTGCAAATCTCAGCCTGTGTTCGTCTGCGCTATAATAAAATGGACACTGTTCACAAAATCCATATATTTGCTGTAAATCATTCATATCCACACAGAAGAAATGGCCGCATACATTTGATTTGTGAACGACATATTTTACCCATGATATGTTTGTTTTTCATGGCATTGCTCATTCTTTGGATACACCAATTGTTACCTGTATCACTGTATATCTTTTGTCGGACACCAGATATACTCGTGTAAAATTAGGAACACTGTATTATATAGATAGCTTCACGTGTTGATTTAATTATCATACTTTTTGGAATGCATTGTGTAAATATTGCGATAATGAGGACAGAAACAGTATGGTTCACAATTTATTGCCTAGCATATTTCGATGCAACAAGTCGGCTCTGTACTACACACTTTGGACAGCTCTGAAAAAACATAAACCAAAATTACAACATGTGTGATTATACGATATGTGGCGGCAAAAACAAGAAGAGCTCACAAATGAAGAACTGAGAAAGCTGGTAGGCATATTATGGGTACATGATTTCATAGAACATTAAAGAATCAATTGGTTCGGTCACTCTGTCAGGCAAAGAGGTTAGAGGCTGACCAAGAAAGAGATGGGGTGAGGTTTGGGGGAAGGAGGGGGGGGGGGTGGGGGTCTGGAGTAAAAGAGGCAACTACAGGGCCTTACAAAAGTCGTGGTATCACACTTTAACTAATATTTTGAAAACTTCTGTATGCGTTAACACGAATTTTCCATTTGCATTAGACTTCTAATGTCTGTAGGTATTCATAATTTATAACTGCACAGTTGCTGCTGTTTTCTTAAAGTAGAGAATGTATTTTTAGTTTTGTTTGACTAATTGTTTTTGTCCATTTTTTTTTTTTTTCATATACTGCAAATTAGGCAAAAGGAAAACGAGATGTCTGTTTACATTTGAAAAATACACAACAATTCTGACAAGGGCATGTTTATTAACAGACTGTATGCCAAATTCGAACAATAAGAAGAAACTCCACAGGGAAGTATGTACAGCAGGAGACTACAAATCATCTGTAGAAGTGATCCATCCTCCACAATTGTTTCGCCCCACAAGCTCCTAGACAATCTCAGAAGGTGGGCCCACCTGAGTTCATGAAGCTCAGGTTTGTTCTGCTCCTGCTGCAAGTATTACCGGATGTTCTCGGACAGGGACAAGACGAAATTGGTGATTGTAAGGTTCGAGGTTTATTTATAGTCGCTGCGTTAGGCCATTACATCAGTCGGCATACCTAGACAACAAGCGGCGTCCGTGGCTAAGGCGTTGGAGTCCGTCTCGTAAGCCAGCATACCGCGATCGAAACCCACTGCAGGCTGCGTGGATTTGTATCGTGGTATGGGACGTCGCAGGTCGACCCAGCCTAAAATGGGTACCAGGACGGGCTGTCCTGGGAAAGTAAAGACAGCCGGCGTAATGCTGACCACATTACCCACAGAGTGCTGATGGTCTGTAAAAATATGGGACGCTCTGCCCATATGCCCGATACGCCGAAAGGCGTGAAAAGGGATCTTTACTTTTTTTTTTTTTTAATACCTAGACAACTAAGTGGCAAGCTAACGGTTGGTTAGTCAGACACGTGTTAGACTTATACCGAAAGGTTATTAAAACATTTTTGTTGGCACGATTTCTGGAACACACTACAGCAAAAGAAGGAAACTACATCTAGCTCGTCTCTGCGACGCTTTACACTATTAACAGAAGAATAAGATCTCATAAATTGCAAGAACGTTTACTGAATCGCTCAAATTAATCCTTTTAACTGAAATAGAGAATTCGATTAGACTAGTATTGTACTTGTGTACAACATCAGAAGCTTTGGGAAATCATGAGGAATATGGGCTTTCCATCACATATAGTGCAGCTCATTAAAATGCTCTATCAAGACCAACAAGCAGCAGTCAGAATAGATGGAGAGACATCAGACTGGTTTGGCATCAAGCAAGGAGTCCGTCAGGGATGTGTGCTGTCACCGTATTTGTTCAACCTGTACGCCGAAAATATAATGAGAAATGTAAGAGATGATATAAACAAGGAACAATATGATGCCCTAAACATCGGTGGTCATGAAATACCAGAAATTCGTTATGCTGATGATACAGTATTACTATCAACATCACAAAATGGTTTAGAAAACTTATTAACCTCACTCCAAAGAAATAGTGAAAATCATAACTTATTTCTTAACATAGCAAAAACAAAGATAATGCATACAAACAAAACTGCCATGGAGAAGGAAATATATGTTAATGAGGAAAGAAGTGGAAGTGGTGGAAAATTTCGAATATCTTGGGTCACTGGTTACCAACAATGGCGACACAATGAAAGAAATTAAACGGCGACTATCAATTGCTCTTCAAAGACTAAAACAACTGAATAAATTATGGAATTGTACAGATAGAACTACAAAGGTCAGATTTTTAAGAGCATGCATCTTTCCCATTGCAAACATACGCCTGTGAGACCTGGACACTTACTAAACAAGCGGAACAGCGCATAAATGCATTTGAATATAAATGTTACAGACAGGTTCTAAGAATATCTTGGGTAAAGAAAAAGAACAAATGCATCCATACTTCAAGAGCTGAATATTGAAGAGGGTTGGCTAGTAAAGACAATAAAACAAAGAAAATTGAAATATTTTGGTCACTTGAAACGTCATGGAAGTTTAGAGAGAACAATAATGGAGGGGTATATGCCTGGGAAGAGAGGAAGAGGAAGGCCAAGGAGAAGATGGGTGCAGGATGTGGCAGATGATCTCCAGATGGGTGTATCAGACGCAGGACATCTTGCTCAGGATAGGAAGGTTTTCCGGAGGGTTGTTATGGCAGCGAGGTTCCGCGAGGGACATGCTACTGAATGAATGAATGAGTATTGTACTAGCATGTTTTCACGGTATTCGTAGGTGAAAAAATACGTGTTTTCTTTGTTTGCATAGCATCCAAATGTCCATGCCTACGGCAACTTCTTTAGCTGATTTTATCTATTTTTCTTTGTTTGATGTGCTTGATTTTCTTATGTGTTAATGTAATTTATGTAGTGCACACATGGCGAAGAATATGTGGATCTACTTTAAATATGGTATCAATGGTATCATATAACTGAGGAGAAAAAAAACACACATTTTTTAGGTAAAATAGAGAATTCACAGTCCACTTTTTCACTGTATGTGTCGCCACAGTAGTCTTAGGCTAACCAAAACAGTTTTTTTGTTTTTGTTTTGTTCATGACACGTTATTGCCTGTTTCTGCCTTTTCAAATACATGTTCATAGTTTGTTGTGATTTATGTGTGTTTACATAATTTTAATGAGCAAACAGGCGGACAATCGTACTGTCCCTGGCTATGTGGATATACAGAAGTTCTGAACAGACCAGAAATAAAAAGTGAAGTCGTTAAAAATTTCTGCAAGACAAAAACTGTTTTTGTAAAAACCACACTATAGGGAAAGCCTGACGGAAATCAAGCAAGAGGTAGACAGCGATAAAATAGGGATAACATCCAGAGATGTACTAAAAGCAGTCTGAGAGAGGGCATCTAAGGCAAAAGGCAGAACATGCTGGACATCCATTACAGCTGACCTTCATTGTAAAGACGGCACCCGATTAATGGACTGATTGACGTAATGTATGTAGTAAACTTCTGAGGAATACACAGATGGCTCCACAACTAAACGCTGGAGGCGCCACTAAGGTATTTAAAGAGTAATCGAATTACTCTACTGACTAAACAATGCAAAATCTGCTATGCTGTAAACAAATAGTGTTTTGTTGTGTTTTCATTAATTAAAATCACAAAGGAAAACATTATCTTTGAATGTAAAAATAAAATGTTCATTTTTTGTTTATTTCAATTGTTTATGGTTTACATTAACACTAAGCAATGTATTACTTTATAATAATATATAAGTATGAGTTGATCATTTTTAGGGCAGGTCATAGTTAGTTTGATTCGGGTACAATGTTAGTGTGTTTTCTAAAGGTATAATTTATTTACTTTTGTTAAGAGCATATATTAATGTGTAGTTTAAAAAATGATATTTGTACACTTTTTTACTTTTTAAAGAGCGTATGTTTAGCAGTAATTGAGCATATGTTAATGGGCTCTACATCACTACATGACCTGTATGTGGGATGAAGAGGGCACTTATCTGCTTTGCCTAAGTTGGACATAGAATACGAAAAGTGTATAAATACTCTCTCGCTGTCTCTCTCTGAATCTCTCTCTCTCTCTCTCTCTCTCTCTCTCTCTCTCTCTCTCTCTCTCTCTCTCTCTCTCTCTCTCTCTCTCTCTCTGTTTCAAATTCTTCCTTACAATTATCTATAAACCTAAAATGAAAATATCCTGTTTCTCCCCCTCTCTTATAATGTGTATGCTTATCTGTTTGTTTTTCCTTATCTGTTTCTCTGCCTGCCCCCCCCCCCCCCCATCTTATTTCTCTCTCTCTCTCTCTCTCTCTCTCTCTCTCTCTCTCTCTCTCTGTCTTTCT